AACTCTTTATACATTCCCTATCATCGGTCTTTTTTTGCAAAATGGTCTTGCTCACACTCTTACTGTGCCGCGCCGCAGGTACCGCCATGCCGGTTATATCTTCCCAGTTCAAGGCGTTGGCTCAATTGCCTTGGGTCGTCAACGGCTTTTACCGTGTGTTTCCTCTCCCCTCTTCATCCCCTTCTTCTTCTAACAAATGGCGTTATAGTCACACAAGCAACGGGCACGTTGACGTTTGGCCAACTGTACACTTTTCTCCCCGCCAAACACACCTTTCTCTTCTCCATCCTCCTCTTTGAAATCGGGTCAGTGTTGTCCGCCGTCGCACCCTCCTTTGCCGTGCTTGTATTTGGCCGTGCGGTCACGGGGTTGGGAGCGGGCGGGCTGGTGGTGGGGATGCACACGATTGTGGGGCAGGTCGTGAGGTTGGAAGATCGGAGTATGCATTATTCGAGTCTGGGTGCTTGTTTTACGCTCGCGAGTTTTGGAGGCCCGCTTGTCGGGGGTGCGTTTACGGACAAGCTAAGTTGGCGGTGGTGTTTTTGGGTGAGCCTCTCTCTCTATTATCAGTTGATGTTTGCTAACTGGTCATAGATCAATCTCCCATTTGGAGCTATCGTAAGTCACTTTTATCTTTTATATTTCTTTGGAACTTTGGCTCACATTGTGTAGGGCGCTATTGCCATTTGGTTCGTCCTCCCCACGTACAAAGTCCGCATGCCACCTAGTCTCGCACAGAAACCGCTCTGGAGACGATGGCTCGCGCTCGACTGGATCGGCAATATTCTTGCCCTCGGCATGATGGTCTGCTTGATCATCGCCCTCCAGTGGGGTGGGTATATGCTTCCGTGGAATGACAAGGTCATCATTGCCCTCTTTGTCTTGGTGAGTGCCTTCTCCTATACCTATGTGACGCTGGCTTATGTTGGTAGTCTGGTGTTCTGGTGATCCTGTTCCTCCTATGGGAACTCTACACCGCTCGAGGAGACGACGCTAGAGGTGTTTGGAGATGGTCAACAGGCAACCCAATGGTTCCTCTCTCCATGCTCCAAAACCGCTCGGTACAAGGCGCCTCGCTCACCGGCTTTTTCCTCAACAGCGTCTGGGGTGCGCTCATCACCTACCTTCCACTCCTCTACCAATCCAGAGGACATACTGCCCTCCGTTCTGGTATCGATATTTTACCATTCATGGTCTCGTCCGTCGTCGCCCTCGTCATTGCGGGCATACTTGTCAAGCGCATCGGCTACTACAAGCCGTGGATGGTATTGGGACCCTGGGTCGCGACGATTGGGGTGGGGTGTTTGACAAAGCGAGAGTTTTTAAAGTATGAGATGATCATTGGGTGGCAGATCATCGTGGGCACTGGGTTTGGCGTCGCCTTTCAAAACACGAGTGAGTACTTAAGGTATGATGTTGAATTAAGCTAACCTGATCTGTTTAGTTATGGCGATTCAGGCCGAGTATGCTACGCAAAGCCACTTGATCCCTCAGGCCGCATCTATCGTTGGGTTCTTCCAACGAACAGGGCCCATGATTGGCGCTGCGTACGTACTTTCCCTGTTCCTACCACTTTATCTAACCTTTTTGCAGTCTCGCCGGCGCCATCTTTATTAACTCGCTCGACCACGACCTCTCTACTCTACCCTCTTCCATCGCCCTTACTCCTGACCAAATGGCGCACATTCGCGACTCGGTACAATACGTATGGGCCGAAGAAATGTCACAAGCGTTGACGAACGAGCAAAGGACGCAGATCGTAGAGATATTTGTGGACTCGGTGCGCAAGGCGTTTATCGTGGGGTTGCCTGGCTGCGTGTTGGCTGGGTTTAGTGCGCTTTTGGTGCGGAATTGGAACGTGAGGAAGAGGGGTCAGTCATAACCGCCATTCCTCTTCCCCGGAATTTTCTCCTCATTTAACTATCCTATGTGGATTTATGGAACCGTCGGTGGGGTTTTGATATGGACTACTACTGCATATGAAGAGGCCCACTCGTGATGCGAGAATAGGATCGGTGATCTATCATATTTGTGATGGGGTGGGCCTTTGGTGTTTGCAAAGGTGGAGGTGGAGGTGTCTTGTTGTCACTCGCATATAATATCTAATTGTCGGATGAACTTGCAAATCATGTATTACTAGCTGCATGCAGGTCTACGAGCTCCTTTATCACGAAACGAATTTATTCATTAGCGAGTCGTGCATAACGGATTGTCATTGGCTTTCCGTCGGCTACCTACATTTCCGTTGAATTATCAGTGACTCACCGATGATGTACTAGAACAAGGAATTTGGTGTTGGCGGGCTCCAGCGCTACGAGGCAGGAGCTGTCTGGAAGGGGTGAGCTGTGGTGGCGCGAAGTGGCTGGACCTCTCAAGCCTACTGGCTAAAGGCTCCCTTCTCCCCACAACATCCACACCTTTGACCGACACTCCAACCTATTCCCCTCATATTTCACCTGAAATTCCCGTCGGAACGGGTGAATGAACCTAGCCTACACATGGCGAGCGACAATGCAATATCACCTTCTTCGGCCTTGATCGCATCTGGTGCGATGAGTGAGCCCGGTCCTATCAGCATGAGCACCACCACCACTACGGCGGCGGTTAGAACCGATATGGGTAGTGCAGCGCTGCCGCCATTGTACGAATCTCCTTCTGCTGTCAATGCATCCACCGTCGTCGTGGCTCGGGCGGGATCGAGTGGTGTTGGAGTGGAGCCAGAGAGAGGAGAGATGGGTACGACTAAAACGAATCTTGTACCGCTCGTGTTCCGTCCGAGACTCAAGAGATTGTCTATCCTCCCAAAGAAACGCAAGAGTGTGAGTCGATACCTCATGTCTTCCGCACGACGCCACATCCCCTTCCACTATGTTAGGCGTAGCGAGCAGTTTATTCGCCCTCTCCCCCCTATCGCCTATTTTGATCTCTCTTCCATCGCCTTGCTCTCCTTTTCCCTTTTCTGTACCTTGAGAAGATGAGAAGCGACCGCGGTTGAATTGGCCAATGATAGAGTA